AAAAAAATTTTTTTGGGGGGGGTAAAAACATTTTTTTCAAAAATTTAAAAATTTTTTAAAAAAAAAAAAAAAAAAAAAAACATCAGAAAAAAAAAAAATCCAGAAAGTAGCAAAAGAGGTAAAACTAATCTTTTTTTTCTGAAAAAAAGACTTGTTCCAGCATTGTTGTTGATTGATTGTTTTTGGCTAAAAATGTATGTGGGCTAAAATGCCATGTGCGCATGGCTCCAAAGCTGTCATGTGCAGCTTTGGAGCCACAGGTTGCTCCAAAGCTGCACTGTAACTGTGGCAAAATGTGTAAAAAAAAAAAAAAAAAGAAAAGTCAAGGGGTTTATATTTTTGCAAGATAATGTAACTCAAGCTGAAATTTACTGTAGGCTTTAATGTGACACAGGGTAAATATAACAGATTTTCTATCATGACAGACCTCCACAGGTGAATCAACAGCAACCTTGGTAGTGTTTATTGCTTGCAAGTTCCCAAGTCTGAGTAAAAAAAAAAAAAAAAGGAGCATCCCTTGTAGTGACACAGCGCATATTCTTTCCTTAATCCCACACAGACAGGAAAGGAGAAGACACTGAAAATGACATTGCCGGTTTACTCGCATCAGACAGAGAGCAAAACTCTGAAGGCTGTGAAATAACACTGGCTAAAAGCAGTGGATGGTCCCTCCACAAGGAGGACACGACAAAAGGGCACAGCGAGCCATGAATCATATGCTGCTGTCAACCGACCCCGAGCCATAACCCTCCACTGTGTGACTCTTTGTTTGGCTCTTATGTAATGAATTTTAGGCAGTGGTCTGCTTTAAGCGTCCTTTTGCCCCAGTATTCAAACATTCCTAACTTTTTTTTTTTTTTTTTTTTTGACCATAGATCATGTAGGGCTACGTATGGAGAGAAACTGTCTTTTAACTTGTTATTGTGTTTATTGTGAAAGCTAAAAAGGACAATTGATTTGGCATTTTCTGCAGATTTTAACATTCAAATTGCACAATAAAAACAATAACAGACACAAGAAAACAAAAAGGGCATATTGTCAGAAAATGTCTTTCTGTTCCCAGTGGACAACAGAGGTGTGAAACTGCCTGTGTTGAGCTCAGAGGTTTCTAGAGGGTTGCTCAGATCGTCTCGTAGTGTGACTTTCACTCTATCGTTTGCTACCGAGATTAAATCACTGTGGCACAATCGCTCTACCACTCACGAGCCCTCGGGAGATCAGCTTCATTACTCAGCAGAGGAGATGAGATAATAAGGAACAAACTGTCGAAAACAAAAAGCATATTGATTGTCTATGGGAATTTCGCGTCTTAATCAGAGGGAAAAAAAAGCCATTCCAAGAACCCCGAGGGGAAGTCATTTGCAAGGCTTTGTGCTCCAGTCAATAACATGCAGACATATTGGAATGTGCCTGTACCAGACGGTGGCATTTACGTTGTCCATCAAAAACTCACTCAATACTAATGTTCTGTAAGGATTTTCTTTTTTTTTATTTTTTATTATGATTATTTCAACTTGTCTGCTTCATTTGTGATGGTTTGGGGGCATTTAAAGGTCAGAGCAGATGGAAGGCATGGAACACGCTCTGTGGAAACTGGGCTCCCTTGTTCTTGTTGCTACAATAAATAATGAGTGACAAGCTGTTGGTTTTTCCTAAAGTCTTGCATGAGGTACCTCAAAGGAGTACGAGGCTCACATCGCTCCGCAAACATTGACGTGTACAGCAATGCTATCGCTAACTGCAGGGAAAGCGAGGTTCGTTTTCAAATGAATGCATGGTGTTTATGTTTTGATGCTCATTCAGATATGCCACACACATTTTTTTGTTGTCCACATGAGTAAAGGAGAGCTGGTTTTAGATGAGATGTCACATTGCAGACACAGTTTTTAAAGTATTTTATTGGGATTACGTGGCAGAAACAACTGTACGGCGAGAGGAAAAGCATACAAACTAAAAATCTGAAAAGTGCAGCATGCATTTTGTATTAAGTCCCTCCTAGATATGCCGTGTGGAATTATGAAATAGATACATTTCAGGAAAAAGACCACTCCTACTCCCAGTCCAATACCTTTTTTTCTTTTCTTTTTTTTCACCTTCCAACAATCCAATACCCAGAGGAGTTCAGGCTTGTCCAGCTTCTGGGAAAACCGAAATGAACTTTAGCCAAATGAATATCATCAGAGTTCTCCCTCTTTCTCCTAGATACGACTTTGAGACAGTGTGGTGAATGTCAATGACTCCAATTTCTGAGATTTTCAGAGAGATTCTATTGAGACTATTTATCATAATCTGCAGATTAGAAAATATTCAGACCTGGGTTTGACTTGTAAAATAGGGCTACATTTTCTAAGAAAAATAAATTAAATAAAAATAAAAACATACATAAAATGTAGCTTAATGCCAGTAGGCTGACAATTCAACAATGAGGCAATAATTTTTTCACCATAGCAACTTTTTATAAGTAAGTCAGATGATTGTCATCCTCGGAAAGAAGATAATTTCATGCACATTTACCTTGTTATAAACTAAACAGTCTGCTGACTGCGTTAAACTGAATGGTTTCATCTGTGCCCTACCCATGCCTTTACTGAAACGATAATTTGGTGTCGGGGAAAGAAAAAAAAAATACTGTCAAAATCGGCACTTGCTATAAACTTTGCACAGTAGTCTAGAACAATCTGAGCAGCCAGAAACTGTAAGATTTACTGACCGTGACACTTGTGTTGCTCCAAACTCTTTGGCGATGGCTTGTGAATGTAATGGGGTGAGGTTTCTGAGCAGCATGTGGCTAATTGAAAGGGGAGATCTACTCTTGTCGTTCCTTCGCTCTGCCTCTGAGGTCTCCTCGCAGCCAGGACAGCGTCAAACCTTTTTCATGGTCAGTTTCAGACTTTGATGAAAAATTTACCAGCTTGCCTCTCTTTAATTCTCTCAGTTCGGTGCTGTCATCTTGGCTCGAAGGCCTCCCTCCTGTGCCCTCTGCAAAGGCTTTTGGGAGGAAAAACAGACAAAGTAGTTTAAAAACTGGGCTATTTTATTTTATTCTTTTTTTTTTTTTACTTTTTCTGGCGAGCGGGGTTCTCACTTCAGGATATTTAGGAGCAAATCCGGGTAGTATATAAAAATGCTATCTAATTAGGTCTCACATGGCACTTCTGTAAATATTACAACACACACTAGGGTCTTCACCTCCTTTTATTTATTTTTTTTATAGTAAATTCATCTCAGCATGCATTTTGAAGTAAGAGTGAGGTTCTGACGCTGTGTTTCAGTCAACAATAAGGAATCTGAAATTATGATGAAAAGCAGTTTGAAATGAAAATGAAATATTCATGTGGGTACATTTGAATAAGCTACAACACTGGCAGATTTGCAGGTAGGCAGCTCAGTAAGATTATTTGAGAGAGTATTTATGGGGGTTTCTGAGGACGGTATCCGGAGCTATTTTGGTCCTGACTCAGGCTGTGGTGATGCCAGTCAAAATATTAAGACAGCTTCTAAGTTGTTAAGCAAAGTACCCTCACACCTCGCCTTGACAAATACAGTTAAACAGACTTTTGCTCTAATATGTGCAGCAATACTGTCAGTGTGTTTGAGTGAGCCTCTGCAGCAGAAGAAAAAAAGAAAATCTGTAATTCTCATGATATTGCTGAGGCAATTTTGCAGCTTTCTTGGCTTCAGGAAAGCTGTTCTGAAAGTCAGTCAGCATCACACACATGAGCTGATATCAATAAGAAAACAGATCAGTAAAGCATTTCCAACTTTACTTTAAAGAAGCTCTTTCAATCAAGGAAATGGCTAACATGTTGCTGATGCAATTAGGAACAACATATTAGCGGTAGCCATGTTAATATTTCTTTTTGCAATATCAATACAGGAATCTGCATTGCTAAGTGATGAAGAATTTTGGTGGTGTCTAAACATGTTCATAAACTCAATTCTGTAGCAAATAAATAAATAAATAAATAAATAAATAAATAAAAAATCTACCAAGCAAATCGATCAATCCGTCCGTCCATCCGACCGTCCGTCGCCACCCTCCCGCCCACTACAATAACTCGCATATAATATTTTTTGTGAGAACTTAAGACTGGATGAATGTGAACACGCAGAAACAGGAGACAGACGGAAGCAGACGGAGGATTAATTGACGTTACAGTTCCGAGGAACTGTAACGTCTGGGTTACTTAGAAGAACCCAGACTGTCAAAACTTTAGTCCCAAAAGCCCAAGAACTTTTAACTGCTTTCAAGCTTTCGTTTTATTGGAAGCACTCAGTTTGCTTTCAAGAAGTTTCCCCTTAAAAGATGGAAGCTGGGATATGTGAACCAAACCATTAGCCATGGACTGAGCATGAATTAGTTAATTCCTAAAATAACATTAAAAGATGTTATGATGTGTGTGTGCTTTGAAAGATATCCCGTTTGGGTCCCAACTCTATAGCTTGCCCTTTGAAATTTTACTGGAAAGTCTTCAGTTTACTCTTCAAGTTTAATAGCTTTCTCCCCCTTTGTGTTAGTGAGATTTCAGCGACTTTGTTTGTGCTTCTGAATGTTAGAAGAGCCACTTTGCAGCTCATGTCAGACATCTGTGTCGGTGTATGTGGTTCATTGCTGGACCTTCACCAGCAAAGAACCCGATAAGGCAGACGGTGATATTTCAGTGCAGCTTCTACCATCGCCACCATTTAGTCTACATCAGAGGGAGGAAGTGACAGAAGAAATCGTATCACTCTGCAATGCAGTCAGAAAGAGAAAAAGGTTTTCAGGATTTATGTTGAGCCTTTAAATTAATTAAGAATACAGCATTCGGTAATTTTGCAACTGTCACATATGCAATATGAAACCATTCTGTCGTTGGCTGTCACCTTAGCATCCATCATGGGGTCATCAGGGTCAAAGTCTGGCACAAACACCTAACACCTATAATCTATGTGAAAATGGGAGTCTTGTAGTGCCATCTGATCAGCTTGATTCTTGGTTAGATATTTGGATGTATAGCATGCCATCAACTCATATATACGCAAAGCAGAGTTAGACTTCTTTTCCCTCAGTGGTCTTAAAAACGTTTTATTTTGGTGCTGCTGCTGTAGCAGTAGGGGAAGAGCAGACTGCAGTGATCTTCCAGAAGGTTAGATCCTTCAGTGTTTTCAGTAAGATGCTGCAGATCTATTAGACTGTTGTGGATGGTGTCATCTCCTCTATCATCATCTGTTGCGGTAGCAGCATCAGAGCCAGTGACCTCAAAAAGCTCAACAAGCTGATAAAGAAGAATTGCTCTGTTCGGAGGACGGCTGTAGAACCTCTGGAGATAATTGCGCAGAGATGAATTCTTCATGAAATGAACATTACGTCAACCCCGAGTATGTTCTTTATGAGGCCGTGATGTAACAACAAGGGGTTTTCAGTCAGAGGCTTTTTTAAGAATTGATGTAGTACTGATCACTAGAGAAGATTCTCACTACCTACAGGCATCTATCTATAAAAACAATGTTACAAGAACTATGATTTTCCTTCTCGATTAGTAAAGTATTCTAGTATTGGAACTGAATTGAATAAATTAATTATTTAAACACAGCATGTGTGTTATAAGAATTAAAACTGTCACATTCTTTTTCTGTTTGCTTCCTAATTAAACAGCACACAGTACGAGTCAATCAGCAACCACAGAGGACGAGCTTAAAGCAGTTTTAATCGCATTCTAGGTTTCAGTGCAGTGCTTTACAAGTCTAAACAGTTCTATTGTTAAAATGCCATTTTCATTCTTATCTTCCGCATGCAGCGTCACCGTGAATTATACAGAGAGCTTGGACCATGAATGCAAAGCCTATTTTCTTGCGCACCAAACTGAAATCCGAGGTTAATTAGGTGTTAACAGCAGAGGTGGAAACCAGCGTTCAAACTTTTTTGGTCGCAGAGGTTACAAGACAGAATGCCAGATTGTCAAATGCCACTCGTTACAAAAATAAAACAGACACCATCGGCTCCTATCTCTGTGAAGAAGCTTTGTCGCTACAGAACAGGAGTGACCCCCTGTGTGATCCCCCTGTGTGATCAGGTCCTGATCACTCAGGGTGACTCTCAGCACAAAGGCTTGCAATGCCTCATGTTGTTGGCACAGGTCCGGCCTACGTTGGCCCCCTCCAGCAGTAAGTCAGAAAGTCGATCAAGGCCGAGGCAGGTGGTGAGGGGGCTGATGAGACCATAGAGACCGCCTAAGGTGATGCTGATTGGCCAGCCAATGAACAGCAGTACCACCAGCCAAATGATGCACCAGAAACACGAGCCACAACTCGCCATCCTGGTCTACAGGGGAAAAAAAGAAAAAAGAAATCGGTTAGAATACAAATTAAAACACAGACAGGAATTTTTATAAACTGCTTCAGCTTTGATCCAGTTCTAGTGTAGCACCATATTTCTAAGACCGTTTCCTCTTTAACAAATTACTACTTTTCTCAAAAACTTGCAGGGGAGAATCCCTTACTTGTCTCATGTCACCTATATCTAAGTACAACATGTGGAGAGGGCTTGACTTCAAAAATAGAAGATGGTAATACACAAATTCTGCCTAAAAGAGATACTTTTACTTTAACTTAAATATAACATCTTTTACAGTAAACTGAATAAAAAGTGAGTGTATGAGTTGTGAAATGTATTGTTTACAGATATATTTTATGGGTCAGTGGCATGAATAGTTTTGTACCAAAAACTCAACAAAAGTAACAACATGCATTTAAAACGTCATTTAGACTGAACTACAGAGGACATGTTTTGATGGGAATTTCACATAATGTGTAACATTAATTCAGAAGATATAAAAAGTCTACGGTCCTCTGTTAAAATGCCTTTTATTTTTTCACGTGCTTGGAAATTGTTTTCTAACCTTTTCCTGACTGATACATTATGATACATCCCCTCTGACTGCTCTTTTTCTATGGAATTCAATTTGAACGTCATTTGTCGTTTGTGGTTTAGGTGGGAACTGATTCCTGTTTGACACTGGGTGAGAATGTGGTGGTTATTTCTGAACACAGCCACATCCTGTGTGGCGTAGGAGAGAGGACGCCGCCACATTATAAAAACATCATAAGAACATGGTACAGTAATATGGGAGTCTAGACTTCTTTTTCCACTGTTATGCTTACCAGCATAACAATTTAACAACATCAATACTTATATATTTTGCAACGAGTTTGGTTTTAACAGTGTGCGACTCTATCACTATGAATTCTTGCATCTGGCTTTAAAAATAATTAAGGTTGACTATTTAGATCACACAGGACAAGAAGTAAATGTTCCTCTGTTGTGATGAGAGATTATCGGTATGAGATGGGAATTGTTGTTGATCTAGAAGAGCTTGTCAGGATCAGACAGTCGCTTTTACAAAGCCCGATATGCTGACAGCTCCGAGCGATAGCCACCATGCCTGTCTGACTGTCGAGGTCAACTGACCATTGAATGACACGGTGTTGAAGAGGCACGTTAGTCACCCACTAATAGCAGATCAGCAAACATCATTCAGGACCTTTATAATAAGCAGAACTGTCAGCACAGATAAACAGCGACCAGGAGTCGTAAAGTGCTGCTATTCTCAGCCTGCTGCATCACCTGCAGAGAGACAAAGTTTCACTTGGTAAACTGTGCAGGTCTCAACTTCCTTTTTTTTTTTTTTTTTCACCACTTTGAACGGGTTTCAAATACGGAGTGTGGCTTTAAATATTTCCCGCGATGAAATCCACCAGAGAAAACTTGGCCCGCGGCCCAGCCTTGAAGTTAAGATAGTAGAGCTGATGGTTTTATGAGTGTGAAAGTATTGTGTGCTGTCAGGCTGATTCTTTAAGGTTGTTAAAGCTTTAAGACACAATGGTCAGATTTCTCCCCCACCAACTCCCTGCAGGCACTGCTGCCTTAACTCTGTGCAACGTGTAATTTCCTGTTTTGACAGCGCTGTCATGTAGGGTTGGCCAATAAATTACATGTTCTCGCACGAGCGTGCCTCATGGTGTATCCCGTGCTCTTAGTAAACACCAGCACGTTGAAAAGAGGGGGAAAACACACACAAATGAGCCACAAAATTACAAGTTTTTACAGTGGAGAAGAATAGCGCATAAAATTACAAGAATATTACTGAGATCAGATAAAAAAAATTCAATTTAAAACTTTGAAATTTATACAGCTGCAAACTCTTAGATATGATGGAATTATCTTCCTTTTCAAAAAAAAAAAAAAAATTCCACAAAACATTTCATAATAATACATCTTCTTGTTATACATCACTCCACAGGAAGCGCAGCAACAATCAATCTGCTTCTGTCATGTTAAATGCAGTTAGTGCAATTTTACATCTAAGCAAAAATGTTAGGAGTGTCAGCTTTGCAAAAAATAGCTAATAACCTAGAGAATACCTGTCCTGTGAGTATAAAAGACATGTTCACCTTCAGCACAGACAAGGTTCTGGAGGAACTGAGCGGCTGCTTTTCCTCACGCTCGGACAAATCTCTCCCAGATCCTTCCTCAGACTTCCAGGGCAGATGTTTGTAAGCAGTAGTCACTTCCCACCAGTTTGCCTCTAATTTGCTCCAACGAGGTGCCACAGCAGCTGGACTGTCTTAAGGCCGGCTGAACGAAAAGCCAACGGGAAGTCTGATCGGAGGGAGGCCGTTGCACAATGAAGCTATTCATGTGACTCAGGGGAAGGATATGCCTGGTGTCATGAGATTTCAGCTCTTTGGTGATATAGCGAGATGTCGGGAACCTTGAGGTTTTATGTGACTGACAACGACAAAAGAGCGGATGATTGTGGGGTTTAAAGTAAATGATTCATGGATATTTAATAGGTCGATGTGCATTTTTATGTAGCCTCCCTGACTTCCACTTCTTCTTTGCTAAATGGCTCACGCTCTGAGTGGAGATGAACCGTGAACACCAACTTTTGAGATATCTCAATTGGACTTAGATCCATGCTTTGACTAGGCCATTAAAAATATGCTTACAATTCAACATTTTTCCTATTACCCGTAACCAGCTTTGAAGAGAACTTAGTAATTGTTATAACCCAACCCTGAATTAAACTCAACTTGCATTTAGGTTCATCAGAGGGGCAAGTAGTTCAAATGCATGAATTTTCAGATTCTTAAAACACTTCACAATTATGTATTATTTTGTGTTGGGTGGGTATATGAAAAACATTCGGGAGATTTCCCTTTATCTTATGAATAGTTGAATAAAAATGAGTCACTTATATGAAAGTCCTTCTGTCACTCAGCACACAAAATATTTCTCAACCGTCATTCCAATCCTTACTCCAGGAAACAGAAAGCCCTACCCACTACTGCTCCAGCAAAGTCCAGTGAACCTTCACCTCAACTACCCTAAATTTTAAACGCAATACGGCGGAAGAACAGACAAAAGAATTTCCATGGCTTTACAGTCGACTGCAGAAAATGTGTCTCTCCACATCTATCAACACACGGTTCTCCAGCAGGTCCCTGAACTGGCCGAGGCACAAGCAGCTGTGCAAGCTGACCTGCTGCGCTAACAGGCAGCCTGAGGTGTGATGTGAAAACGACCAACCTTCTCGTGCATGATAATGAATAAATTTCCTGCGTTCTCGCCTGCAGGGTTGTGAACCCCGTTAAACTCTTAATCATAATTCATTTATGTCTAAACGGTCAAGCATTGCTTTAAACCTGGATAATGGATATCGCTCTTGATTTCAACACCAATACGTCGTCTTTCAGTCGATCTCGTCCCTCATAGGAACCGCTCTGCAGCGCAAGTGTGTGTCTTCGGTACTGCACAAAGATGTATGAATGGTGAAAGATTTACTGTTGCTGGTTGAGTGACTGTGCTTCTCGAGGGCAGGGTGAAATCCCCCGGCATGCACACGGGCTCCTGGGTGAAGTGACTGACCTATAAATGCAGCTTAGTAGCAGCCTGCGCTGCTGGTTTGGGTTGAGCCAGTCACAGCAGAATTAAGATTACCATGAATGGATGAGCGTATCATGACACAGAGGTTATCTGATAAGAGTGAGAGCGCAACAATGATTATGTTTGGAGGCAAAGTGCATTATCAGCTTTGGTAGCAGCACATGAAGAAACAAGCCAGTATAAATAAAACGATTTTAGGTTGTTGTTTTTTTTAATAAAGTACTAATGGTTACAAAAATCATCTGCTTTAAAAAAAAAAAAAAAAAGAAAGCAAGAAAACATCAAAAGGATCTTTGACAAGTAGAAAACAGGTTCAGTATCAATGTCATCACACGTTTTCAATGAGAAATCTAATTTGTCCGTGCGTAGCAGTCCACTAACGGATCCGCTACTGCTCTTCGTCCTCCTCCTCCTCCTCACTGTCGCTGTCTCGGCCTGGATGCTCTGGCATCTTCGTGTGGTCGACTGTTTCCTGGTCCCCCTCTTCCTCCGCGGCCTTCTCTGCGTTTGGCTCGGGGTTCGCAGCTCCTGGGGTTTCCTGCTCCATGGGAGTTTCTGGCTGTGGTTCTGCGGAGCTACCCTGCTCTGTCTCGACCGCAGCGTCTTCCTGAGATTGTTGCGGAGGCATAGCCAGTTTCTGCTGTTGCTGCTGAGAAAGCCAAAAACACACAGGGGTTTCTAACAAATGAAATATTTTCACATAGTAATTTTGGTAAAATGAAAATAGTTGTTCTCTTCACTTGTGAATAAAAATGCTATTTATTTCTTGATTGGAAGTGAACATTATTTTTTAGAATAGTAGTGTTAGTGTTTTTTTTTGTTTTTTTTTACACATTCTAAGATAATGACACTGAAAGGCGTTTACCTTTCTGTACTTCTGGGAGGTCTGGATCATGTGCATGTACATGTTGTACACAAAGTTTGTCATCTCTGGCATGTCCTTGATGATCCGGTCAGGCTGCTCATCCCTCTAAAGGAGAGGAGGAGAGGGGGAGGAGAAAAAGGCAATTTGATGATTCAGAATAGTAATGAAATCAAAAACTCCTTGTATCTTGTTGGGGATCATTCATTAAGTTACCAATGGAGGTTTTATGGATTTACAGCAAAATCAGTGAGGAAATTACATTTTAGCCCCTGAACACAAATTTTCCTTGCAGCTACCACTTCTCACTGGCTAATGAAACCAAGTGCAGAATGCAGAGTCAGTAATTCCACAACATTAGCATGCAGACCACTTCTTGCAGCCTAAACTGCGGAGAGAGATGATCAGAATATTTTATATGCTGACAGACTTTTGCTTTGCTAACACAGAAGATCCTCACCGGAATCCTGCTGGCATCACGTCGAAGTCAATGAGACACTTGATTACAACTTAAATGTGGAAGATTTCTCTGTAGCGAAAAGTTAATGAAACATGTTGCTTTACTGTAATTCAACTCACTAAACATGCAGTGCCATGGAAGATTAACTGTTCCCTTATATGACTCTTCTTAAAACATAATTATTCATCTGTACAATGTGAACACATTGCTGCAGTGCAAATACTCCTGTGGACCAAGTCAGGCCAAATTGCTTGTTATCCTTCTGGTCGGGCGGTGTCAGACAAAATCTGCATGAGCGTGTCAGCAGCAAAGGTTTACCGACTGTAGATGGACAGGCTAAGCAGGGGCCGCATGTGTGTACCCAAAAGAGCTGTCCCTCGTGGGGATGAACACTCGAGAGTCAGAGAAAGTGTCAGAGGCTGTGGGGTATTTTAGACTGCCCTGTTGCCACAGTGCGCCAGCCACTGAGATGCAGTGACCAGACAACAGCCGTGTCACGCTGGTCTGGCCCAAGGTTTTATTGTTAGATCTTTGGGAGTTAAAAATAGCCAGGCCTGTGTTTCCCATGCTCACAAAGGGCCCCTGCACGCTGATGTTAACGGATCAATCTCTCTGTGTAAAGCAGCAGAAGAACCGGATGGCGAAATAATTTAAGGAAGAGGAGACTAGCATGGATCTCAGTGCATTTGCCTGACTCGCGATAAGGAAGGTAAACGTATTACGAGAGAATAATTGATCCAGAGCGCGGAGCATGCATGTGGATGTACATACAGGCTGTTCCTGGCTGTAGTACTCGTGCGGTCTGATGTGTAGCTGCAGTGGTCTGGCAGTCAGTTGCTTGAAGGCGGGAGTCAGCTCAAAGCAGTTCTCGAACAGTGACACCCGAGCAAAGATGTACAGACCCAATCTGGCTCTTGACATGGCGACCACAAGACGCCTCACATCCCTGTGGAGGGAGGAGAAAAAAACAACAACAAAAAAAAACAGCTCAGAATTGGTTTGACATGAAGGGGGATGGGGATATTCAAAGAGACATGAGTGGGAGGGGAAGAGAATGTGCAGAGGAATAGCTAAAACTTAGATCAGGGTTAAAGGATACAGTAAAGATGGAGGGGAAAAAGGCAATGTAGCGTGGGAGGAGGGAAGGTTTAAGAAAGGATGAGAGGGACTAGGTGAGTGGGACAAATATAGAAGACGAAAGCAAAAAAATAAAGGAAAGGGAGGCAACAGGGAACATAAGCAGAGGAAGTGGGAGAGTAGAGGAAGGGGCAGATTTAGGATACTTTTTCCTGCCATCTAAGAGAATTAAGAGATTAAAAAGAACAGAGGAGTAATTTCTCTGTGAAGAAGAACAAAAATCCCACTTGGCTTGTTCTAACACATTTGTTAATGTACTTTGGTGTCAAGGAACGCAACAGAAAATCTAAATACAGCCCCCCTACAAGAGTATTAACATTTCTGTTTCCAATGTTAATTCTAGTAAAATCCCTTTTACGTAGATGCTGACAGACACACATTTTCTATTACAGATAGTAATTTTTAAAATTCAGGGTGGCTTCCTGCCAATATTTAGCCAGCCTTTATGATTACTGTCACATTTAATTTTGTTTTTTTTGTTGTTTTTTTTCAAAGGAGGCTGGTGCTGTATGACATCATTACCTCCTTTGGCTGTGAACGAGCTCTCCTGCAGCTCACAGAGCCAATGTTGGTCGGAAACTATTGTCAACTTGACTACGTCTACCTAACTAGAGGCGTCGCAATAAATCTCAAGGTTTGGGAGGATTTCCTCTAAAAGTAACATTTTATATTTAACAAATATTCAAAAGGCTCTAAAAAATAAGAATAAGTCTTGACATTTTCACTGGTAGTGCTTTTCAGAGGTTAGAAAAAAAGATGACAAAAACATATGGATGTGTAAATCTGTAATTGTCATGTTGTATTTGTGATTCACAGTAATTTTTCTATATTGTCCTCGTACTATACCGAAAAAAAAAATGCTACACTGCTCCAATAAAGAAGAAATACCAAGAGAAAGTCTCTCAGAGCAATTTTGATTTTTATCAGTAATGAACAGAGTGGGAATCGAATCAGCAAAGCACCAACAGAGGGATGAACTCCTACCAGTTGTCACCATTGTCCCAACATTGTAGTTTGTGGCAAAGTTTGAGGATATGAATACTGTGGCAAGGAACTGTTCTATAATTTCTCGCAACGCAGGTTTGGAAAGAAAAACAGGCAGAGCTGCATGTGAACACATCATGAACCCAAAAGGCAAGATGCACTAAAACTACACTGAATGTGCTCTGCCTCCACCTACTCTACTGTATGCTACCGTTACAATAAATTCAATGCAAAACATACAAATCCAAGCAGAAACAGTAAACAATGGTTGTACTTTCAGTCACTGAAGAATAAGGATATAACTCATAGTTATGATGGAGCATTTATAAAATCAAGGACCTTTTTTTTTTTTTTTTAGAATATGGAAATGTATTCTAAAGTGTAAAATAAGTCCAGCTGAACAACTTGGCAGATTAAGAGAAGTAATCCTTTAAATATGCATGATGAGTTTCATGAATATGCAAAAAAGGGAAAAAAAATGCTTTAGGGAGCTGCTGTGTGGCATATAGTACTTTAATATCAAGATTA